AGACGGACAGACAGACAGGCGGACAGACAGACAACAAAGTGATCTTATAAGATTTCCGTTTTTTACTTTTCAGGTATGGGAGCCTAAAAACTAACAATTTGTCAAAAAAAAATTACATTTAAATAAAAATAATAACATTTTATTATATTTAACATGATATTGACTATAGTAAAAATTAAATATGGATGAAACAACGCGGCTTTTCTCACTTAATATAATATTTTTACCAACGTTGCCTTATCATCATACCATCATTGGTCTTTAACTCTTACTAGTTAACTGGTAGAGAATGCCTTTGGCATTAAGTCCACAGTTTGCTTATGCATGGCAATAAATTAAAATAAATTAATTATATCAAAAAGAAATGGAAAATTTCAAAAGTTATAAGATCTTCGATGGACTTTTCCACATCTGTTTATTTACTGTAATTACATATGGACTAAGATCCAATTTTTTTTTAAATAATTAAAAATAGTCTGTCCAGTATTTTTTTAATCAACCCATTTTTAGTAAATTTTGTAATATAAAATATGTTTCATTCTATTATAAGCTCGGTGAAGGTCGATGTAGGCTCGGATATTCTACTAATAAGTAAGCTTGCTTTTAATTTACTTAAACGCCTTGGAAAAAAAATAAAAATTAAAATATGTGTAAAGTGTTATTCTAAATAACATAAACAATTATTCTAAAAATAAACGGAGGTACATGTTTTACTTAAATCTATAGATGACGACATATCAATGGCTAAACTTATACAAAGAGTGGCCATTCAGATCTAAAGTAATTAATTATGCAAATATGAACTTTATTACATAAAACATACAAATAAGTATTTAACTTGCATTATGACTGAAGTGTCTAACATTAAATTGAAAAATATTTGTGTTTATAACGAATAAAGTTAAAAGCTACTGAACTAATTTCAACATTTCTTTCACTACTTCAAGTAGGGGTTTATATTGATGTAAACATACACAAGAGAGGTAAAAGCTCATACCTGAAACTTTTTTTGAATTATGACAGGTCTTGAATTCCTCAAAGGTTTCCAAAACTAAACATAGTTATGACTAAAATGTATGCCATATTGTGAAAGCTGTAAGCAGATAAATAATAGAATAGCGAATATTAACTGCCCACTGCTGGGGAACAGGGCTTCCCTACGGATGAAAAAGGGAGATTAGGGTCATAGCCTTACATACCTACCACGTGTGCCCAGTACGGTTTGCCGGGTGCTAACGACTGCAGCCTGTACCAACAACTTTGCGTGCCTTTCGAAGCTCGGAGGAGCTTGAGATAATTAATTTTTGGTCACCCATCCGATGACCGGCCCTTACGAAAGTTGCCTAACTTCCACGATCGCAGGCCGAATGCTCTACACACATGTACTATCGAGTTCCTCATATACATCCTCGCTAAGGCCGTATACAGAAAGAAAGCTGGTAGCTGACCAGCGCTTGTCAGCGCTTGTCAGGGCTGGTCCTTACCGGTAACCGGCACAGGCATTTCTATGGACCAGCGCCGATAGGAGCCGAACGTCGCCGACAAGTGCCGACACGCGCTGGTAAGCGCTGCGCGCCCTTTGAAATTAATGAACAACTAGGCTTCAATCCGCTTCCTTTATGCAACAGTTACCAGTAAGGACCAGCCAGCCAGGTCGGCTTCCAGCTTTCTTTCTGTATACGGCCTAACTATCGAAGCAATATGATGCATACCCCTTCTTTCGCGCGTAGAAGACAATTGAGCATCGCGCATCAACACTCAATCGAGAAACAATAAAAAAGCAAGTGACACATAACCGTGCCGCTGCCCGCCGCGCCGGCGGAAGCCACCGTTTGTCGAGTGCACTCGTTTAGATCAGTTAACATTGCGAACATTTTTGTGTTTCGCCGCGCCGACGAGTGCCAATAAAGCGCTTTTCATGTTACCCGCCGTATCCCGGGCCGTGGAATGCGCATTCACGATATTTATAAAAACAAAATAAATATTCTTAATTAGTCTTCTGTATGCATATGAGAGCGACTTCGTTTGTCGTTGGAGTTGTGCACATATACTCGTACTTACTTAATAAAATTCCGCCTACTTAATAAAAGATTTGGTAGCATGCTTTTCAGTAAACTTGGATACATAAGTTCATAAATGTGAAAGTGTGTTACTAAATCACGCAAAAAACTGGTTGAACGGAATCATCAAACATATAATTTATACCGTGAATTAAAGTATAGGAAACTTTTTTTTTAATTATAAGAAACAAACAAGCACACATAATAACATATTATTTGATCATGGCAATATCGCTGTTGGTTCAGGTATAATATAAATTAATTGTATGATAGCATAGCAAACAGCTCCGCTGGTTTTCGATAATCATACAAAATACTGTATTCGTAAAAAAATCTGATAATCATTTAAAAAAAAACAATAAACTGTTATTGCATCACAATGACACACTTAATAAGTAATTATCACATTGTATTATTTGCGATAATATCTGTCTGTACTAGTAGGTAGTAGGTTTTAGTACCTACCTATGTACTCTATTAGTTTATACTTTTAATAATTCCCCTAAAAGCATCTGATTATTATTTTTTACAGAATTTTGGTAGATCACTAGAGAAATAAACAAAAATTTGGTACTATTGCACTATATCAGTAAAACAACCACTAATAATACAACATGCATAAAGTCCCTATTGTTTGTTAGAGCGATGAGAAGAGATATTCTTTATATATTTCGTAGCAGAGACTGATAAATCAGACTACTTGCTATGATACAGACTCCTTTCGCTTCAAATATATACAATCGTTGCATTTATATCTACATTAATTAGTTTTTTTAATCTTCAAGGGGTATTTTTAAAAAAATAACCAATTTGCGAATGTTCTCAACAAAAGCAGTCAGTAGGTAAAAAGTGAACAGGCATCTTCTAGGCAGGCGTGTACCATCCTAGGCCTCATCATCGCTTTCCATCAGGCGAAATTGTGGTCAAACGCCTTGTCTTTTAAGCACAAAAACAAAAACATGGATAGGTAGCCGCACTACCGTAAACAATTAATAAATAATAAAATAAGTTTCAACGGTATTAGATGCACTGATTTATTTATTTATGACGTTTCGCATTCTTTTCAGGCTACGTCGTCAGAAGACACAGCTTGAAAAGGATGCAAATTAATGAGTGGTGTTGGTGAAAACCTTCGAAACAATATATATAATAAATAATAGTCAATCAGAGCCGCAAAAGGGTTAACTTTTGTCGGTAATATCGCTTACTTCGGAAAGAATAACAAAAACATTAGCAATGGCTCCTTGCAAACATTTTCTTTGTCCGTTAACCCGTTAGGCAATAAATTATAAATTTATTTTTATGACTCCCATGTTGGTCGCACTACGTCTAGACAAAATGCAAAAAAGCCTTAATCCGCACCCGAGACGATCTATATATTGTTTACAACGATAATAAATTGTTTACGGTAAGATCGGTAGAGTTCTTAACGAAATAAACAGCAAACTTTTTCAACTTACACAGAATATTCGTACCCTGATGTTATATTTTTTTTAAAACAAGTTAACACTGCACCTATAGTATGTTGTAAACTTCATTACAAGTAGTTAGTCTTATTGTAGCATTAATACAACGAAAAAAAAGGTCTGACAGAGAGGTAATGAAATTCTCTATGATATTAACAACGTAGCAGTAAAAATTTGTAATAGAGACTCATTACGTACATTTAACTATAAGTTTTTTATTATTTAACATAATATCATTGTATAAATAGTTTGTTCTTAATGTCAATAAAAAAAAATGATAGATAATAAAATAAGATGATTTTGTTAATATTTAATCAAAACAATGAAAAAGCTTTTGATAGGCAGTAGTTTACTCAATTCCATAAAATTTGTATTAGGAAATTGAAGAATCCTTGAAAAAAGAAGCAAATTAAAACATTAAACAAAGACAAAACCATTCTCACATACAACCACACATTTGATGTTTGTTTTGGAGACATTTTTGTTTCATCTTTTTATTAATGCATTGTAGACCAAAAAACAATATTATTTTAGTAAAATAATAAAACAAAAAAAGAAAGAGAAAGGTCTCTTGGAAATATCAGGAAAATGATTGAATTGACTTGCTTTTTGAAGTAAAAATTAACTCTCCATATTTAAATCCTAATGAGTTTGTAATTATAATTAAGATATTGACAGGGTTTATTGACTTTTAGTTGTAATACTCTATTGAATGTGTTATGACTATTGTTTTTTTATATTGAATGTACCTATTTGTAGAATATTTATCCAAACGAGCTCTTTAAAAGTTACTTTCTAATAACAATCACCATTAAGATCCCCGAGTGTTTTGTATATTCATTTACAGTCACTTTATGGAAAGAGTTCATGTGTTTTTATGGTGTAATTCCAACGTGTAATTCTCTAAAATTACGTCATTATGTGAGTAATTTAACCTACAGAGATAAGGGTTATCGTAGATGTATGCAACATGCGTCAGTACAGGTACCTACACTACACCACACTTTAAACAAAGAAATTTGACGGAAATAAGTCAGGGGATTAAGATACGCCGTGCATAAAAAGGATTTACTTAAAAGAGTTTTATCTTTAGTTTCGTTAACATATAAAAAATCTCTGTGAGAAATGTGGCAACTGTACACAATAGTTAACGAAACATTGCAATTTTCACACAGTTTTCATGAGTGATTAAAATATTTTTACTTCCTAAACGAGGAGGTTCTCAAATTGTCGTAATACTTATTGTATCGTTGTTCGCGCATATCTCCAATGTTAGTGGACCGATTTTGATGTTTTTTTTTCTTAGCGAAATAGTCGCATATTAATTTAATATAGATCTAATGAGTACTCTTGGAGATGAACAACGGAACTCCTCAATTACAAACTGTACACAAGTACTACACATATCATGTTTGGTTATTTTACGAAATATAAAAGAGTTGCCGGCCTGAAAGTTGATATAACTCTGGTTTATAAAAAGTGAAAATAAAAAAAAAAAAATGGGTGCATGTTTGATAGATCTGGCACAAACACCAAAAAATAGTTTGATTAAAGAATTATTAATTACATTATTTCTTAACTTATTGTGGTTTCGTTTTTATGAAGTCAGTTTTTATTTATGCTACAAAGATTTTATTATCGTTTTTTAATTAGTTATAACATATGTTATCATACTTTAGGGTTTTGTACTACCTATCATATAATTTAATAATTTTACGGGGGATTTCCACATTTAATAAACGAAAGTTTAAAAGTCTCTCTACAGAAGGCACACATTGTCAAGTTAAATTACTGCAAACAAAAAATATTACTAGTAGGTATTTAAATCCTCGAGTGTAGGAAATTATTATTCACACGCTTTTCACTCAAGAAGCTATTGAATTTTTATGATTAAGGCAAAACAAACAAAGTAAGTACCGCCATGTTTATAAAAGCTCGCAAAGCGCGCTCCTGTTCATGCCAATCTTGCGGCCAGCAACTTGTTGCCGATGTGAACTTTTGTGGCGTATGACAGAGAGGGTGCATCGGACCTCCCGCTCGGGGGAGGAGCATCTGAGCGCGGGGAGCGTGCCGGCCGGTCGCTCAACTCGTTTTGCCGTCCGTCAGTCGTCCCTCATACGTCGTAGTGAGCGGTTACGTTCGTCGCAACTTTTCGCGCGCGAGCCGTTATGTGTCGTACTTCGAAACAAGTTTGACGGGAAATTCGTGAAGTTTTCCGAGCGCGTCCGGACTAAAGTAGCGATGAGCGCGACAATTTATAGCGAAACAAGCAGTGACAATTTAAATTAAGTGACAGTCGTAGAGTGAAATTTATATCCGAGATGTTATCGATGGGATTATTGGTTGTGTGGTACGCGGCATGGTGTTGGATGTATTCGAGCGCCGGCGGGGCGTCGCTCACGAGTCGGGTGGCGGAGGCTCCGCAGGAGTGCGAGTGGCAGCGCGTGTCTGGCGCCGCTGGAGAGCCCACACGCGTGCAGCTCGCGTGCTCGCTGCGCACCGCAGCCGGCGCCACCGAACTGCTCGCTGGCCTCAGCAATTCCCAGGCACAACGCATCACTGCGTTAGACCTGCACTGCACCGACGTTTTATTCTTCGAGAGCTCCCTAGATGTTGGTCGAAGAAAAGAGGAAGGCACCGAACTCTTATCACGCTTCCACAACCTTAAGGAATTGCGGATAGAGTCATGTAAAATACGATACGTGCCATCCGCAGTTCTGTCACCGCTGAGTGGTCTGCGAAGCTTGAGTATCAGGACGCATAATACTGATTGGTCAGCGATGTCTATGGAGTTCCACAGAGATACCTTTAGAGGTCTTACCGATTTAAGAAATTTGGATTTGGGAGACAATAACATTTGGATTCTGCCTTCGGAAATATTCTGTCCATTGTATAATTTGAAAGATCTCAACGTTACTCAAAACAGATTGCAAGATATCTCCAATTTGGGTTTCTCCGACTGGGGCAACGGTCCGACTGCGCCCGGAAAATCGTGCAATACTGTATTAGAAACATTAGATATGTCTTACAATGAAATAAGCGCTCTACCAGATAACGGTTTATCAAGTTTACGCGCACTTCAGAAACTGTTTCTCCAAAACAATAGGGTATCGACAGTGGCTGATCGCGCATTTGTCGGATTGAATGACTTGCAAATTTTGAATTTATCTACCAATGCACTAACCGCATTGCCACCTGAAATGTTTCAATCTTCTCGTGACATAAAGCAGATTTATTTAAACAACAATTCGCTCAGTGTTCTCGCTCCCGGCCTTCTTGAAGGATTAGACCAGTTGCAAATATTGGATTTATCAGTGAACGAATTGACAAGTGAATGGATAAATAGAGACACATTTTCAGGATTGGTTCGTCTTATTGTTTTGAATCTCTCGCACAACAGGATAACTAAAATCGACGCTCTACTTTTTCAAGATCTTAATAGCTTACAATTTTTGAGTTTAGAATACAACAATATAGCACGCATTGCAGATGGTGCATTTTCTAACTTGAAAAACTTACACTCATTGTCATTAGCCCATAACAACATAATTGAAGTAGATACCAGTCATTTCTCGAATTTATATGTACTCAATCAATTGTTCCTTGATGGAAATAGAATAACGAAAGTTGACTTACGCTCGTTTGAAAATATTACCAAACTTCACGATTTGGGTCTAAGTGGAAACCAGTTATCTGAAGTACCGGAAGCCATAAAGACGTTAAGATTCTTAACATCTCTAGATTTAGGCATGAACAAAATAACCAAAGTCAGTATCTCGCATTTTGAGGGTTTAGATGACTTGTATGGCCTACGATTGGTAGGTAATAAAATCGAGAAGATTTCCAAAGATACTTTTGCAGCTCTTCCGTCATTACAAATATTGAATTTGGCTTCAAATAACATTGATCAAATAGATGATGGTGCATTTGCGGCAAATCTACAATTAAAAGCAATTGGGCTAGACGGGAATAAACTTGTTGACTTAAAAGGAATATTCACCAATACGCAGCCGTTGGTTTGGTTGAATGTCTCAAATAACGAGTTGCTGTGGTTTGATTATAGTCACATACCTACAAACTTAGAGTGGCTAGATATGCACGAGAACAAAATTGAAAAGTTGGAAGATACGTATGGTGTAAAAGAATCGTGCAACATAAAAATGCTTGATGTTAGCAACAATAAAATCCGAAGCATCGATGAATTTTCTTTTCCTAGTAGCATAGAAACCGTTGTGCTAAATAATAACTACATAGACAAAATCAGTCCTGGCACGTTCTTACAAAAGTATAACCTAAACAAAGTAATGTTGTATTCAAATAAGATAAAAACATTGGAAACTGCCGCATTTACGATATCAGCTGTTCCTGAAGAGAAAGATTTACCCGAGTTCTATATTAGCGAGAACCCATTTGCGTGCGATTGTACAATGGAATGGCTGCAGAGAATTAACCAATTAAGTGATCTCCGGCAGCGCCCGAGAGTAATGGATTTAGAAAGTGTAAGATGCTCTTTAACCCATTCTCGAAGCAAATCGGATGTGCTTTTGCTCGAAGTAAAATCTTCAGAATTTTTGTGCGAGTACGATTCACATTGTTTCACCCTTTGCCATTGTTGTGACTTTGACGCTTGTGATTGTAAGATGACTTGTCCAGATAAATGTTCGTGTTATCATGATCTCACCTGGAACTCCAACGTGGTCGATTGTTCGAGTGCCGGCTACGATCACGTACCGGACCGAATACCGATGGACGCGACCGAAATATATTTGGATGGAAACGATCTCAAAGAATTAGGAAATCACGTCTTCATCGGCAAAAAAAGATTACAAGTCTTGTATCTCAATAACAGCAACATCAATACAATACAAAATAGAACGTTTAATGGGATTGATTCGTTGCGAGTTCTACATTTGGAGAACAATAACTTGGAAGTGTTAAGGAACACTCAGTTTACAAGATTACAAAACCTGAACGAGCTATATCTCCGTAACAATAAAATAAAAGTAATAGAGAATGATACATTTAATTACCTGCCTTCACTGGAATACCTGGACCTTGACAACAACGGTTATGTTGATTATATGCCGTGGAGAGTTATTACTGACAACAATCCTCGCACGCGTGTGTCCGTAGATGGGAACAACTGGATATGTGATTGTAAAGACGTAGCTCAACTGAATCAATGGTTAATAAAAAAATTAAAAGATACCGAGTCCATGATGTGCTACTTTGCTCACGGCCAACCGATGAATAAAACTATTGCGACTGTAGCGAAGGAATGTAAAACAGAGATCACTACCGAAGAAACCGGGACAGAGACTCAAAAGCGATTATTCATCGAATCGAATGACGGAGTCGAAAATTACATTCCATATATCGCAGCGCTTCTGATAATAGTAATTATACTTTTGTTAATGTGTGCCCTTCTCTTTATGTTCAGGGAAGATTTAAAATTGTGGATGCATTCAAAGTATGGAATTAGAATTTTTACTTCAACGCCCAAGGATATGAATGACAATAAAAATAAACGGTTCGACGCGTTTTTTGTGTACAATCCCCGAGACGAAGATTTCGTGACGCGCGCTGTTAGTTCTGGGTTAGAGAATTCGGGACATTCTTTGTGTTTACAACACAGAGACTTGCAACCGATCGAGAGACGCTCCAGTGACAGTTTAGTGAGTGCTTCGGAGAGTTCTAAAAGACTAGTGATAGTGTTATCCATATACTTTTTACAACAAGAGTGGTACTCTTCTGAATCAAAAGCGGCCGTACAAAGTGCTATAAACTCAGTGAACGTTAGGCATAGACGCCAAAAGATTATATTCCTTGTGACGACAGACTTAAGTGCCATAATTATAGATCCCGACTTGAAAGTTTTGCTCAAAACGTGTACTGTGATCGTGTGGGGTGAAAAGAACTGTTGGGAAAAGCTAAATTTTCGGTTACCGGATGTGGACGTCACGTTGACGAATCGAACGCTTCATAACGCCGGTAGTGTGAAAAGTGGTAATAGGGAAGGGTTTGGTAGGCACGGGAACTTGAGGTATACGGCACCGCCTACATCACAAGACCCATGGTATAAATACGGGATGGCACCTCCGATTCTGATGATGTCGAGTCCTATGCACTCGACCAGTGCCAGCGCGGAGGTGTCAGCTCGGAGTACTGAGGACGAGACCTGTTCCGTGGCCAGTAGCGAGGGTCGGCCTGACGACCGGCTCCCGCATCACCATAGTTACGTGTCTATAGACAATCACCAATGTGAGGAGAGACCTCTGAGGCCTCCCCAACAAATTCCCATGTCAAACACTAGGCCTAACAACATGCGAAAGACTTACTTTGTTTAAACAATGAACAATATAATGTGATGTGTTTTTTTATAACTTGTATTGCGTGAATGTAAAACCTGTAATTATAGTTGTTAAGTATTCGGAAGAGTATGAAAAAAACATTGTTAGTATTTCAATTGTAAGCTCTCGATGTTAGTCTGGTGCTCTTAATTGCTAATATGAATCTTATCATTACTGTATTACAAACCTGTACATTTTATTATGAAATAATGCATGTACTTTGAGTACCTACAGATAAGCATTTAATATCATTCTACTAATGTACTACCTATTATGAATGAGCATTTGATGAACAATCATTCACAATGTTTTTTCCAGATTATAGAATAGAAGCTTATTTATTATACTTAACATTCCTTAACTTTGTAACTTTTGTTATCTGTATAAAACAGTAGCTATTGTTAGCTTTCCGACGCAATTCCTGAAATATACTGTACAGGTCACATAATGACACTTTGTGATAAAATTAGGTACTTATGTTTGTTAAAGACTACGCTGTTAAGTGAGAAGTGTAAAATAAAATGATAATTGTATATAATTGTAATATAAATATTGTACTATAAACACTGTTGAAGAACTGAATTGTACCCTAGTCAATTGTAAATATTTAGTAAGTAAGTATGTAATTAAAAACATAATTTTGTGATGTAATTTTTAGTTAGAAACGTATAAAAACGTATTTATTACGCTTCCAATCAGAGAGTATGAATAAATTAATTATTTTGTCTACTATAATGACTTTTATTGATATCCAACTAGCATGAAGAATACTCATGTTCAATAACGAGTAGGCTAACATTCTTTGTTAATCATAAATTCTTTTAATCATCTCAAATGAAAATAACCTTTTTTTATGTTTCGAAACAAAGTATTAAAGTTCACAACTTTCGAAAGACTCAATCAAAATCGATATCTATCATCAGAACAGGTGATTGAATGGGGGCGTGTGTCAGAAACTTTTTCATTGGCATAATCAATTTACCGAATCGCTTTGTTCGCTCATCCACAGTCGAATGTATATAAATATTTATTTTATCTAAATTGATCGAGCCGGATAAGATCACGTGCGGGCTTCGTACGATTTTAATTTAAAAAGCGACCGCGACAGTGCCTTGGTTGCCCGCTGCGAAACTATATAAATCATCCTCGGACCAGAGTACCAGACCCTGGATGAATATACAGCATTTTAATTGACTTTTGATTGCAGGCAGCATGTCTCTTCATTGTTAAGTGGCCTCACTTATCTGGAGCAATTGATTGTAGCGCGTGAATTTTTATTCGTCGCGTTCACGGGAAACCGTCAGCGCCTTTGTCGAATACAGATAATGCTTTACAAGATATGCTGACAGCTTCTCAGATAACTTGAAATAATACAGATGTTTACATTATCGTTTAAGGTCTTACAAATGTTATCAATGAGCTCACGGTTGGGATTGCAATTTTCGTACTGTCAATTTAAATCAATTGCCTATATTATTGTCAAACAGATTTAATAACAATTTAGAGACTATTAAATAAATAAATATAATATTATTTCAATGTATCTAATATATACCTATATGTTACGTATTCTCAACGATTTGATATATTCTTAACATGTTTACTACAAATGAATTCCTCCTGACTTTATTATTAGTGAATAAACTGATAAAGCTTACATAATAAATTCTTTAGTTAAGTTCCACTGATAAAATATTAGATGAACAAACCTGGTTCTCCAATAAAACTATACTTATTAATTGTAAAATTATGTATAGATTCCGAAATCATAATACTAATGTGGGCATTAAAGTTCGACGTTATCTTTACGCATATTGATATCTGTATAAGATAAGAGTTATTGGATACAATCCTGTGCGGACATCTCAATCGAATACCTCATCGTTTGTAACACTACCCGTGGTAGGTGTAAATGTACAAGTTCCAGCCAGGATCTAAATTGTAGCTATCAAGGGCCATGTTGGGGACACACTAGGCCATCCATTCGTGCCAGCGCACACCCAACAAGAACACTCATCACCTTTTTTTTCGTGCAATACGATACCTCGTTTATTGCCGCGCACTATCCGAAACCCGTTCCGACTTATTTGAGAATTAAACTTAGAGAAATAACCAGCCGAGGTGACAATTGATTATTCGACGACACGCGAAGACAAAAAGCCGAATCGGCCGATTAGTTATGTCGTCGCGACGCGTAGGCCGGCACTAGACAATAGATTGGGTCTGCTTTATGATTCCATAAACGTTTATGTTCCTATAAACGGTCTTTTAGCTTTTCTTCGAGCAGATATCGTGATATTATCGGCGGGACAGGTTTATGACGGAATCACTCAAAGCAGCAATTAGGAGGTACGTTTAGGAGATTTAAAACAATTACGAATGTTATAGATTTAATAGAGAAAAACCGATTCGTGCAGTGTCATCACTAAGTCATTAATGATTATCTGTAGAGTCGTGGTCGTGATTGCCTCTGGCTATACGAGGTCGTAAATGTTGGTAAAACTTCCCGTTAATGGAATGCTTAACGAAACACTGGTGGTTTTGCGTAGGAAGACCGATGTCATAATAAGAATATACAGTTATGACTCTATTTGAGGAAACAAATATTGTTATTTATGATATTTTATTTATTTAGTATAGCTGTTCTCATATTCTTTTACATATATTCTTTGGGAAATGACTCTTTTAGTGGTTATGGTACTTTGTTTTTAAGAGGGTTGGCTCTCTTTAATGATTAACTTGAGTAAACCCAATAATTTGTTAACTATTTTATTGGTAGCTCTATTTAATGAATACTCGTTTTCCAGGTTACCCATTATTTGAAAGGTTTCAAACAGTTGCCGAACATTGAGTGAATTTTGTTGAAGTCCTAAAATTACAGCTGTTGTTGTCCTTGTTATTATAGTGTTGTCTAAGCTTCTAATTATTTTGTTGTGTTTACATGCTGGAATGTCGAGGCATATAACTGATTGCCTAATAGTTATTGTCCAATAAATTAATTAAGTGTTTAGCAATCAACAAGTATATTGCTTTTAACATTTTAAATAATTGGCTTGATTTCGGCCTGATTCTCTAGTAGTAAATTAAGTAAGTAGTCTCTTGTTCATTCTGTATAGAGTATGATATACTGACATCAAATATAGCAGATGAAAATCAGACTTAGTGTCAATCTTTTTGAGTTATATTTCACAAGTTATATATAAAGGCAACGAATAAGTAGATAAATATACAACCTAGAAAACGAAACAACAGAAAATAAAGAAAATTCAATTGTTTTATTATTAATTGCATACAATATCAACGTGTGTTGAGTAAAAAAATAGTAAATTGTAACTTTTGAATTTTATAGATAGGTACTTAAAGCTCGATGTTCCAAAAAATTAAATAGGAAAACGCATGGCATCCTTGCATTAAAAAAAAGTTTCTGCACGCTTTACAGCTACATAGCTGCATAGCACTGCATGCTATGCAGCTATGTAAAGTTTAATACCCAGTTACTAAGAATTACAATAAAAATGGTATTCTTTTGATGTTCATCAGTTTCATCAGCGGGCGGGAAGTCCAGCAAAACAGAATTGCAAGTACAATATAAATAAAAAAAAACAAATTTAAACATACTTAATATAAAGCTTTTGTAAAAACTTGTCATGAATGTTGTAATGCATTTATCTTTTGCGATGTTTAGCATGCATAACTACAGTTGGGGTTAAAATAATTGGTGAGAAAGCTTAGATTTTTTTGAACATATTTTTTTTAATCAACCATTCCGGCGATACGCTAACTTTAATTTGGGGAAGGTTTGCTGTCATAAGAATGAACTAGCCGCTTAGGTTTACCCAATGCCTCGTCTGTTTGTAATTATTGTAGAATGCAGCTGCTTCCGTCGGCCGGTGGGCGGGGCCGAGCTTTTTTTTAATTTACGTTCAACCGTTATTGGCTAAGAAAGGGAACAAACACATCAGGAATTACAAATTTAAATTCGCCAGGGGAATACGCCGTGTTGAGGGCGAGGAATGTATCGCATATGTTCCTTATCGTAATGAGGTCGTTGGGTTGTTTTTTATATCGGCTTAGAGGAAATGCCGACACGTACACAAAATACTATTTTTTTCTGATATTCCTGAAAGGTAGATACAAAGTTGACAGTGTTTTTTCCGACTTTAAAATGGAGGGGGTTCTCAATCCATCAGTATATTTTTTTATTGTTGTTTACGCATGTCTCCGAGATGCGTGGGCCGTGGATTTAATTGTTTATTTTTATTTCTATCAGTTCTTGGTGAGATGATCTCATATTAATTTTCTGAAGATCTGATGAGCCCTTTTGGAGAAAATAATGGACCTCCCCAGTTTCAGACATTACTTACCCCATTCGTGTTTGGTTATTTTAAGAGATATGAAGTAGATATTGCTGGCCAGGTTATTATACTAAGCTAGTTGATGTTATTCTGACTTGGAAGTATTTTTTTTTATATGGTAACTTATCGTCATTAGACAACATACATAAGCTTACATTGTGGTTAGCTCAATGTAAGTAGCGATACGACTTGAGATAACATCAGAATATTTTGATTCGCACGAATATAAATATTTTTTCCGTAAAGTGTTTTTATTCACTGAATACACACAAAGACTTTGATTTCTCTATTTAAAGCCGTTATATGCAACATAAATGTATTTAATCAAGTATCGTGGTAAATATGAAAAACAAAACAGTACCAGTAAAATTTATTTATAGTTACGTAAATTAGGGATAACGTAGTTTCTACGAGTTGCATATGTCCACATATTCTTAGACTAGAGGTGAATTTGAGAAAAAAGGTTGTGCAAGATAGACGCTATCACAAACTTTTTTGTAGAAATTTCAAATGACTTTTCATGATGACTCCGAATGATTTTTGTGCAACTTTTCAACGGAGCAACGGAATCTTACAAATGGAATAATTTATCCCGTTTTTGCAAAAAAACACATTAGTGCTCCGCTCCTTATTTAATTACATGTTATTAATTTCCTTATTTAATAACTGTGCAAAGTTAAGATCCATACTTAGTCAACTCACAATCCTGAAACATAAGTTACCTTACAGAATTTTAAGATTAATATATTTATCACTAGCTGATTCTGTCATTGGATACGGTTTGAGTAGCTATGGTAGATCATATCATACTTACCTGCAAAAATATATACGTTCGTTGTATTTTACAACGAACAATGCTTAAGACTATTGTACCATTAAAAATTAAGTTAAAGTACAAAGTGACGATAAAGGATTGTTTAAGCACTGTAATGTAATCAACGTATATAATAAAATTAAGTATTTCATCCTTAAAGAGCAGACTGACCGAGACAAATTGTTAATCCAGTATCAAAAACCATTAAATCTTAGGAACTTAAAAAATAATAATTTATTTATTACTACAAAGTACAAAAATATTTATGGTACCAGAACTTCTATGTATTTGTTACCCTTATTCACAAATGAACTACCAGAGGCTATTCAAAATAAAATAAAATCTTCTAGACCCTTTATTAAAATGTTAAAAGAATATTATTTGGAAAACCAGACAGGCTGTTTGGTGTGACTGGCTGTGGAGCGACTCTGCAGCATAGATAAATCATTAAGGTTTTAGTGCTGTAATGATGTTTTTATTGTATGCAAATTAATTAATAAATAAATTGAAAAAAAAACATAGTATATAGCCTTTCTCGATCAGCGTACTATCCAACACAAACATTTTTTCATATCGGACCAGTAATTCCTGAGATTAACGCGTTCAACCAAAGAAACAAACTATCTAACCAACTCTTCAGCTTTACAATATTATTATAGATGGTGTTAAAACATTGTCTCAGGTCTGGTTAGTTCCCGATTTTCATATCTCGACCGCAAAAGATAAGCAGTTCTGCTTATCTTTTGATCAGCGCAATGTATTCACCTGTGTGATGTTGGCCGATGTCAATTATTTATTTATTACTTCGAGTAATGCGAAAGCAACAATGAAAACTAATGGGGGAAAAAAAACTTAATTTGTAACAACAATGAACGTGGATCTATAAATTAAATATTTTTTACAAGCACACCAACCATCAAGTTACTTGGGTGGCTTGCGAGATCGTGCTGATAAAAAGCTTTATTTTTAATTATAATCTTTGATCAAAGACGGGCATCATGTAACCCCTAATTTCTATTTTTGATATATATTCCTTAACTTATGAAACATCTGTGAGCAATTAGTCATACAAATCCATGGATTTGTAACCGGGGGTATCAGAGGATTATCTTAGTGTT